AATGACAGATAACAGTCCACAGGTTATTGTCAACATCGACATTGGGCCAAATAAGAGGAAACATATGGAGAAACATTTGGAGTGATTGGTAATTTAGCAATGTGTTAAGATTAAATTTCTAAAAGTACAACAAAAAACTAAATAGTTCCTTAAATAAAAGAAACCAAAATCTCTCTGCAACATTTTCTACATTGAAGAGTAGAGATCAAAACATACAGATTAAGGGGCGCCTGGGTGGCTTAGTCGGTTAAGCGTCCGACTTTCGCTTAGGTCATGATCTCGCGGTTCGTGGGTTCGAGCTGCTGACTACCAGCTCAGAGCCTGGAGCCTATTTCAGAGTCTGTATCTCCCTCTCTCTCTGACCCTCCCCTGCTCACACTGTCTCTCTCTCTCTTAGAAATAAATAAAAAATATTAAAAAAAAAACCCATACAGATTAATATTTATATAATCTTGGTTTGAGAAAGCATTACTTTTTGAAAAAAAACCATAAAGGAGATGACAGACTTGCCTATATCAAAATAAAAAACTCTGTGTTTCAAAAATAAAATGAAACAGTATGAACACAACTACAATGTAAACAACCCATAGAAAAGAGTCATAACATAAATTTCAGTGGCTCACAATTTTTAAATAGATAAAGCTTTTATAAATCAAATAACAAAATCAGTACCCCCAACAGAAAGATGGAGAAAGAACAGGAAAAGACAATTTACATACACACACACACATTTAGTCAATAAATATATGAAAAATGTTTAACCTTATCAATGGGATTAATGTAAGTAAAAACAAGATAGCATTTCTTTATACCTGTGCTTGATAAAAATGATAATACACAGCATGTACAGTACTGATGAGGGTACAGACAAATATTCTCAAACAATGGAATATAAACTGGCACAATCTCAGGGGGATGGGCAAAATGGGTAAAGGAAAGTGGGAGGTACAGGCTTCCATGGAATGAGTAAGTCACAGGAACAAAAGGCACAGCATAAGGAATACCGTCAATGATATTTGTAATAGCATTATACAGTGACAGACGGTAGCTATACTTGTAGTGAGCACAGAATAACATAGAAACTTCTCAAATCACTATGTTGTACACTTGAAACTAATGTAACATTGTGTGTCAACTATACTCAAATTAAAATTTTTACATAAATGCGCACAACCTCCCTGGAAGTCAATTTAGCAATAAATATCTTTAAAAATATGCACATACTTTTAACAAATTCTACTTTCAGAACATTTTTTCCCTAGGAAATGATCATGAATCTGCGCAAAACTTTAGCTACAAGAATATTCATCTTAATGTAATTCATAACAGCAAAAGCTTGGACCAATCTGTAAGTTGGTCACTTGAAAAAATTATGGTACATTCAAATGATATATTACCATGCAATCATTAAAAATTACAGAGGATGTGGAAAATGTCTTTGTTAATGACAGGAAAAAGATGCTTAATAACATGGGAGAATGTTCACGATGCAACAGTGTTTTGGGTAATAAGACTGGGTCTGGAGTCAAGCTGTCTGGGTTCAAATTCTGGATCCACCATTGATTAGCTGTGTGACATTAGGCAAGTTTGTAACCCTCTCTGTAGCTGTTTCTTAATGTCTAAAAAAAATACACAACCTCTATGAAATAATGGATCTAGGCTACAATTATCAATGGTTACTTAAAACCACGGGGAGGAAGGTTGATGGAGAAGTTTATAACAGATGCACCTGACTAGAAACATCACCAATCACTCTCAACATCACTAAAATGAGACAACCAGACATTATGTGCCTCGTCTTGTGAGACAACAGGAAAGGCAGCACACAGCATGCCTATGAAGTATTTTTAGCCCCCATATTTGACCCAAATTTAGGCAAGTGTCTAGATCTACTAGCATAATAGAAATATGGGGATTTAAGTCCATGAAAATGAAGTTTAAGAATAATCAAAATATAAGGATGGTGATAAAAAGTTTAGAATAGTGCTTCCCTCTGGGGCAGGGAGAGACTAGAAAGAGACAAAAGGAAACTATAGGGGCTACTAGAAGTGCTCTACATTGATGTTAGAGTACTTTATATACTTTACTGTGTGTATGTGATACCTCAGTTTTTAAAAATGCAAAGAAAACAGCTCCTGATATTCACCATCGTCTAGTGGCAGGAAGGAAAGCAGACGTGGTTCGGGAACTAGACATGATGCCAAGGGGAAGCGGCAGTGGCCCGCACCCACCTCCCCTCTGTGAGCCTGGTTCTCCTGTGGAACTCCCCCTGCTGCAGAGAAGAGCTGGGGGTGGGGACAGAGCAGGACCAGGCCAATGAAACCAGGGTACTTATTAGGGAAGCCTTACAGAGAGGCTGTCCGCAGGGATCTCCACATCACTAGTAAAGTAATACTGGCTATGTTGTAAAAATGGGCTTTAACTTCCCTTAAAGGGTTTCAGCAAGCCACTTTGTCTACGCACTCGGACAAGTTGGTAATGTGAATTAGAAATTAGCGGCTAAAGGTAAGGCGGTATCTATGGCTGGATAACTAGAAAAGTAGGGTTCAGAAACATTAGAACTTTGAGAATTCATGGAGTTTTCTTTGAAACACCCACCAAAAGATTGTTTGGGAAATTCGGCTAATGACAGGCACATGTAGAGGAGTAAGGCCTCTCTCCCAATCAACCGAATCCTTCCTCTCCACCCCCACCCCTGGTCAGTAGAGGCTGAGAAATGTGCATTTCAGTGTTCATCATCCCAGCGATAGAGGTCTACCAGAAGCTACAGAGAAAGTACATATTACACTGATGTAGTCTATGTATGGCATCCGTTCCTTCTCAGCTCTGATAATCCCAATGACAGACGCAAATAGAAGTCACAGGTTGCACTTGGACCTGAGATACTTTTAAGCTTAACATTCACACTTCCTGTGAGAGAATGATTTCTTATAATGGTGTACTTGTCTGGTACGTTTCAGATCCATATTTAGTATTAAGGCAAATATAGAAAGTTGGTCTTTCTTTAGAGTAGAAAACATTTTTTAAAAATTCCACTTTCATGAGATTTTTCTTTCACTAATAAAAAGATTTAGGTAGAAAAAAATTATGTAAGTGGTTGCAGATGTAGGTCCTCTTCTTTAGCCAGGAGAGGTGCCCAGAAATTAGGAAAATTCAGGGCTATATCTGAAGAAATGGTGCATGGTTATTCAGAATCTTTGTAAATGTTATGAATGCTGGTAAAGAAGAATTCAGTGTGATTTCTCAAAGCAAGTGGCAAAAAGCTATTTTGTTTTCCAAAATCTTCCCCTCTTGGGTAAAGAGTAAAATTTACAAGCTCACAGACAAATTAGTCAAACTGAAGCTGAGATCACTTCTCTTTCTGCCTTAGGTCACAGGCTAGTGGATACATGATGGAATTATTAAAGGGTCAAGAACAAATCTATCAGTGCTTGAGAAGACGCTGATCTAGCTTAAAGAAGGAAAGAAGTCCAGTTCAGTGTGGCATTGTTTTCAGGCCAAAATATTAACCATTGATGCTACTAAATCTCTTAATATAATCTGATGCAGGCATGCAGGGGGAGAATATGGCCCCCAAACACACCTTAATTCTCCAAGTTCAACATGGCCGCTGGTTGGTTCAATGGATGCTGTATACCACTGGCCCACACTTAAATGACTGGCTGGCCTTATTTTAAGGCTTCAAGCGATCTATATTCAATGTAGCAGTCAGTGGCTAAGTTTATGTAATGCAAGTTAAAGAAACGTCTCCCAAGTCTATGTTATATAGCCCAATATATTAATAACAGAAGTATACTTTTTGACTTATGGAGAAATTTGTTAGTTTACCTTAATTTAACCCTATCTTTAACATGAACAATTGTTTTCTTTGTCCTGACTCCCCAGTGTCCCATCTCCTAGCCTCTTAAGGGTGCTCAATCAGTAGTAAGTAAAAATAAAGTATTTCTTTTCTTTAAAAAAGCAATCTTCCTTCTTAGCAAAAATAAAAATTTATTGAGCCAATACTGTGTGCCAAACGCTATTATAAGTATTACCTTATTTTTAATCCTTACAATAACCCTATGAAGTATTATTAATATCCACATATTTTTTAATTTTTTTCAATGTTTTATTTATTTCTGAGAGAGAGAGAGAGAGAGAGAGACAGTGTGAGCAGGAGATGGTCAGAGAGAGAGAGGGAGGCACAGAATCTGAAGCAGGTTCCAGGCTCTGAGCTGTCAGCACAGAGCCCGACATGGGGCTCGAACCCACGAACTGTGAGACATGACCTGAGCCAAAGTTGGACGCTTAACTGACTGAGCCACCCAGGTGCCCCTATTAATATCCACATATTATAAGCGAGGGCACTGAGGCACCAAGAGGTTAAGAAACATTTCCAAGGTCACATAGCCAGTAACCAGCAGAGTGGGATTTGAACCCAGGCACTGTGGCTCAGGAGCTCATGCTCCTACTTACAACTCTCAGCTTATGTAGTCTGGAGCAACTTCCTTTGAGTTGGTGGGTTCAACTCTCAGCACCACTATTTACCATCTGAAAGTGTCTGGGGACAAACTGCTGAAGGTCTCTGCACCACAACTTCCTCACCTATAAAATGGGTCTAACAGCAGCCTCTCTATAGGATTTGTTGGGAAAACTAGATGTGACTATATCTGCAGACGACCCGGCACACAGTAGCCACTCAACAAGAGCCATCGCTATTCCTTCCCTGACATTGCTCCTGCTGCTGCTCAGCCAGTGTGAAACTTCTCATTCCAGCTCCCATGAAAATCAGGCCCGACATAGCTGAGGGGCAGAGCACAAGCAGTGGAGGAAAATAGGCACTATCGCTGCCTGTCCCTTAGTGGGCGTGTGGACAGATGCTAAATCCTTGAACAGGAAGTAGTTCATGTCAGTCCTGAAACCGTCCTCCCCTTGCTAGTACAAGAAACCTCCAAGGGACGCAGACTTTGGTTTCGAAGCCATACTGGCCCCCACAGTGCTCCAGACCGTGGAAAACTCACCTAGTGCTCTGACAACTCGCATCAGGACTTCCCCGACTTTCATTCTGGTCTCTGGCGTGTGCTTGTCTTTACCACCATCATACTGAGCCAACAGGCCAAGCAAGATTTTCTCAGGGTACGCATCTGAGAGCAAGGCAACCCCTGGAGTTAAAAATAAAAAGAAAGGATGCATTATGGTTTAAAACTGGAAAGCAAATAAACCCAGACAGCCTGCGACGGGATGAACGCTGAGACACTCAAACCCGCCTCTGTAACTCTATCAGGAAGGGCTGCCCTTTTTTGGAATGACAGCATAGTGAGTGCAAAGGACATGGGTCTGGGAGTTCAGACTCCTGGATTCTTCTAGTCTCAGTCCTATGTGTTCTCTAAGATCACTTCCAGCACTGATACTCTATGATTTATGAATTCTAGACTCTTTTTTTAGAAATTTTTATTTGAGAGAGAGAGAGTCCAAGCGGAGGAGAGAGGGATAGGGAGAGAGTGAGGAAAAGGGAGAGAGAGGGAGTGAGAGCAAGACAGGAGTGGGGAGGAGGAAGGGGAGGGAGGGAGAGGGAGGGGGAGGGAGCGGGAGGGACGGGGAGGGAGAGAGTGAGTGAGTGTGTGTCTTAGGCAGACTCCATGCTCAGTGTGGAGCCTGACTTGGAGCTTAATCCTATCACCCTGGGATCATGACTGGAGCCAAAATCAAGAGTTAGATGCTCAACCGAGCCACCCAGGCGCCTCTGGATTCTAGGCTCTTAAAGCAGAGGTTAGATGATTATATATTGTGGCACGGATTCACAAGCAGCAGGAGAAGACTGGATTAAATACCCTCTAGGGAGCCCTCCAAGTCTGAGACTAAGGTTCTATGACTAGTATTCTTCCTGCCAACATATCAGCCCAAGGCACAGCAGTGCTTCCTGTCTTTGCCATGGCTCTCTGTTCCAATATGAGTATTCTCTGTAAAACTGTCAATGATGAGAGTAATTTACACAAGGAAATATCTTTGGAGCATTCTGGGCATGATTAGTAGGAGACCCAAGCTTATGGCTGAGTTCCCTGATCAGAAGTAGGGAAGGTCCTGCTCTTGAGTCTCTCTTCCAAGTGTAGTAGCAGCCCCTCCCCCCTTACTCACAGGGGATATGCTCCAAGACCCCCAGTGAATTTCTGAAACTGCAGATAGTTCCAAATGCTTTATATTCTATGTTTCTTCCTATACATACCTACCTAAGATAGTTTAATTTATTAATCAGGCACAGTAAGATAATAACAACAATAACTAATATAACAGAACAATTTTAACAACTATAATAAGGATAATGACTGTCATAAGTATTATGTGCATGTGGTCCTTCTTGCTCTCAAAATATCTTATTGTATTGTATTCACCCATATTCTGCTTGTGATGACATGAGACAATAAAATGCCTGCATGAGTAGATGAAGTGAGGTCAGGACATAGGCATTGTGACACGGTCTGGCTACTACTGACCTTCTGATGATTTAGTCAGAAAGAGGATTATCTGCTTCCAGACCACAGGTGGCTGAGGCTAACTGAAACTGTGGAAAGCCAAACTGCAGATAAAGGGGGCCTCCTTCACTTCCTGGCCCCTTTTCCCATTCTGCCAGTACCTCCTAGATGTGTAATCATTATCTGAGTGCCATCTCATATCGTGCAAACTTTGCAGGGATGGAGAGAGGAGGGGATATATGACCTGTGATAGGATAAGAAATAAAGCCCCCAGTCCCAAAATTATATAAATATAAGCTGTGTTGCTTCGGAGGAAAACATGACTTACTTCTAAAGATCAGTGAGGAAGAAGAAAAGAAAAACAAACAAAGGAAATACAGGTTTCAAAATATATCCAGGAAGAGACTGCTTCTTTTTACCACCTCGACCTCAACTACTCTGGTCCATCATTTCTGGCCTGTTGACTGCCACCTCCCCCCCACCCCCATAATCTCCTAATTGGTCTGTCTCCTGTAACCATCTGGTTATAACAAGTCAGGCCCCATCATTCTTCTGCCCAAAGCCCTCAATGGTTTCCCTTCTCCCTTGCTTCTGAGCAAACCCCATCCCCACCTGCCTTTGCCCACTCCCTGACCTCATCTTTTACCAGTACTCTCCCTTGCTCACTATCCTCCAGCACCTCCAGCCTCCTCACTGTTCTCAGAGTACACCGGGCTGCTTCGGGTCCAATGTCTCCCTCTGACATCCCGCTCTGCCCAGGCAGCCTCCTCCTGCAGGCAGCCTTACGGCTTGCTCCCCAAGCCCCATGTCTCTGTTCAAATATCACACATTTAAAGTGGCAGTCTCCTTCTCCTACCACTCTTGATCCCTCTCACCCTGTTTCATTTTTCTTCTTAGCACTTATACATGTTATATATGGTATTTGCTTATTTATCGACTGCTCTCCTCCTTAGAATGTAAACTTTACAAAGTGAAGGATTTTGTTTTGTTCCCTGCTGCAGCCTCAATGGCTACAAGAGTGTCAGCACACGGCAGGTGCTCAGTAACTATTTGTTGAATGAATGAATGAATGAATAAAAGGGTTCAAAGATACAGTCTTGATCTAAATTTCAGGAATTAAGAAAGATGGGGAAGGAATAATAGAAATGCTTAAGAAATCTTCAATAATTTTTCATCTGAATTTACCAATCTCCCATTTAAATTTGACACTTGTGCAGGCAAAGTCTTCATACTATTTTCTGTGTTATAGGTTGTAGTTCCCATTCTCTTGTAAGTCAGATACACACAAAGGCAGCACACCTGCTAAGGGCTGCACCTGTCTGCTTCTTTTCTGCCTTCCCCACCCTTACCTTTTCATTGTTTCCAAAAAGCCTGGGAAGTCCCTGCATTTGGCCTCAAACCACGTCTTCCTTTATGTGGACTCCAGTCTTACACAAGCAAAGGCTCTGCCCTTAAGGAAGTTGCAGGCTGTGACAGAACCTGAATTAGACAGTCTCCCTGTTGGCACAATGTCACACTGCATTTGTAGTTATCTCTATTATGCAAAACGATGGGGAAGTTTTTAGATGGCCAAGGAGGAGTTAAAGATACCTTAGCAAAGGAAAAATGTCAATGGCTAAGAAAAAGATAAATAGGGGCGCCAGGGTGGCACCATCATTTGAACGGCAGACTTGATTTCAACTCAGACCATGATCCCAGTGTTGTGAGATCGAGCCCCACGTGAGTCTCCAAACTGAGCGTGCAGCTTGCTTAAGAGTCTCTTTCTCTTTCTTTCTCTCTCTCTCCCCCTGCCCCTTTCCTCTGCTCACTCTCAGAGAGAGAGAGAGAGAAAGAGAGAGAAATTGTTTACTAAGAAAGAGATAGGTAACAGCTTCCAAATCTGAAAAAGCCCAAAGCAAAAGTGAACTGGTAGTTGGTAAAGAAAGTTCTGGCAGAATTGTATCACTGAGGGGTGCCTGGGTGGCTCAGTGGGTTAAGCGTCCGACTTCTGCTCAGGTCATGATCTCATGGTTCATGGGTTTGAGCCTCGTGTCGGGCTCTGTGCTGACAGCTGGCTCAGAGCCTGGAGCCTGCTTCGGATTCTGTGTCTCCCTCTTTCTCTGACCCTCCCTTGCTCATGCTCTGTCTCTCTCTCAAAAATAAATAAAACATTAAAAAAAAAAAAAAGAATTGTATCACTGATATATTGCAAGCTCTGGTATACACAGATCTGTAGCAACCATAACTACTTTTTCATCAGAAGTTCCCAAGTGAGAAATCTGGTGGATTTGTTTCCTTTTAGGAATATCGTTGTGACTTTATAATGGAAATCGGTGGGAAAATGGGATTTGCTTAATAAAACTTTGATTTCTAGCTTTTCTGAAAAACATTTATTTTAAGGTCCCTCCTACTGTTGTTTATGCCTGTTTCCTCTCATTAATCTTTAGCAGAGAACACATATTTACCTCTAACAATATATCCTGCTATCTACTTCACAACCAAATGAGCTCTTGATTTCCTCTCTGTAGTGGACACAGATCTGGCTGCACATGGCATCTACTCTGTCTTCTGGTAGCAACACCTTCTTCTGATAGGTCCTTTAGGAACTATTCTTTTCCTACTCTTACTCTAAGTGGTTTAAGTGGAGCCAACCACCCACTTTCTTCCCCTTCATGTGTGAACTCATCTGGCCAGTTAGGACGTTCCATGCCATGCCCACACAATGATGGGCTCAGTAATGGGCAGTGAGACTCAGTTTTGGATACCACATTGGAACTACTGGGAAAGATACATTTTTGGTGTGTGTGTGTGTGTGTGTGTGTGTGTGTGTGTGTGTGTGTGTGTGTGTGTGTTTTTTTCCTGTTGAAGTTATTAGCCTGGACCTGACTGTGGCTACTATGTGGAGAAAGCCCACTCAAAAATACAGCCAACACAGAAGAAGATCAAGCCAAGAGGTGAAAGAGAAAAGAAAGAGACCTGATAATCACAAGTTGAGCCTCTGGATTCAACTGTATTTCCACCCACTTAGACTCTCTACATACATAAATCAATAAATATCCTTTTATGTGTATGCCAATATGATTTTTTTCATCCAAAGGAATCCTAATATATCCTTCTTCAGATTAAAAAATCCCTGATATTTCATTTATGTATTTATTTATTTACTTACGTACTATCCCGATAATGCCAAACTTTTAATTCCACTAGGGAGCATTAAATCCTTCCACTCTTGCAGTAAAAGGTTGCTAATAGCAAAGCCCAGTTTCCTTGTTTCCCACAGTCCCAGATTAGCAATTGTTTATCTTCTTGCTGGTCTGCTCCCTGGACTGTTGCCAAATGGCCCTCGGACTGAGTTTTACCTTCAAGGATACAGCTGCCACCTAGGAGTTTATAAGTCCCTAGAGGACAAGGGCAGCTCTCGCCTCACTCTTACACCAAGCAACAAAGAGAATTATATATGATGGTTAAGACTGCAGAACAATTATATATGATGATTTTAAGTGATGGTTAAGACTGCAGAACAATTTTGTGTGGTCTTTTTTGTTTCTTATTTAAAAAGCTCCCTGAATTTTGACAACTGAGGAAGCACGGCCATCACCTTCATGTGACCCTTGGCCCCTTGCACTTGATAATTCCTTTGTAATTTGAAAATGGGGTCAGCTTCTGGGTCAGCCCTGGCTTCAGGGAAACATGACACATCAATCCCTTGGCAA